CAGCCATGTCGAAGGAGGCGCGGGCCGGGCAGGAAGAGATCATGGAGTGCCAGGTGATGTGGGAGCCCGACAGCAAGAAGGACACGCAGATGGACCGCTTCCGTGCGGCCGTGGGCGCCGCCTGCGGCCTGGCGCTCGGTGAGTGGGCGCGCGGCCGGGCCGCCGGGGCCTTCCTGGGAGCGGGGAGCTCCGAGCGACCACCTGGCCGAGGCCCCTCCCCTGGGGTGGGGCGCCTTCTTTCCGGGGCGTAGCTGTCAGGGCGCTCGTGTGCCAGGATGGCCCCTGAGCTGGGTTCCGGCTCTGGGCTCGGCGCAGTCGGAGTCGGCTGGCGGGGCCGTCCCAGGCTGGGGGCTTCGGTCTTGCATTCCGCTGCGCCCGTGGGAGCCGCACTCTTTCGGAGCGCAGCATCTCCGTGCGCGCCGCCCTCGCCCTGGCCTCACCCGCTGGCCCTGCAGCCCCCTGTTGATGAGGCCCTGGCTAGGCTTCCCACCTGTACGGGGGTTCCTGGGGTCTCGGCCTCCAGCCTGCGGGGCTCCCTCCTCCATGCAGGGCCTTTCTGACTCCGGCTCCTCTCCACAAGTAGTGGGGGTCGCTCACCAGCCCCAGCCCCTGTGCTCCCCCTACACCCCACTCCTCACACCCAAACTGGCCTAGAGGCCAGCCTGGAATTCTGCACCTGGAAGGACTGGCAGGCAGGAAGGAGCCCTCCTTTGGGATCTCACTATGTTACGTTCCCAGCTCCCCAAAACCGATTGGCGCCTTGGCCCTCAGAAACCACCTGTCCCGTGGGTGGGGCTGGGTCTTCTCTGGGTGAGGAGCATCCCTCCCAGAGCTCCTGCTGCCCGGGCTCTTCCAGCTGCCTCTCCACCCTCGTCAGGTGCCTGGCTTTCTGTTCCCCTTCATACGCCTTCAGTGGCTTCAGGGACCTCTGTTGGTGGCATTGCTGTCCTTGACCAGCCTCACGGGCTGGAGGCCTGAGCTGCCTCCTGCCAGGCCCTCCTGCAGCTTCCTTCCGTCTTTCCTGAACAGGGGTGGGTTTTCCTGCTCCCAAGTCTCTGCTACTCCTGCCTCCTCCAGTGCACCCTGCTTTGCCAGTCCTCTGAGCACAGGTGTGCCTTTGTCACTGTTTGGCTCGAAGCCTTGGTGGTTCCTTGTTGACCTCAGAGTTGCCAGTGCCACCGGGCAGCTTCCAGGCCATGGCCAGCATGAGGGCCTACAGGGGGCCCTTCCCTGCTGACCCAGATGCCCTGGCTCCCTCCTCTCACTCAGGACAAGTGTGTGTCTCACCTTGGGAAGTGCAGGGGAGGGCAGGGAGGCAGCCGTGCCCCCCAGGACATTTTCTGAGATTACATTCTCTCTGATGCTGGTCTAGCCTTGAAACTTTGTGAAATAATTTCACACCAGGGCTGCCCTGTGAAGGGACACAACCTTCCGGGGAAGTGGAGAGGGTTGGGGACCTGGGTCTGGCTCCCTGGACTGTGAACTGGCTGCCACGTTCCTCACCTGTGAAGCGGGCACGGATGGGGACCAGCACAGGGGGCGGCTGTGTGGGCGACATGGCGTGGCCAGGCCTGTGCTCAGCTCTGCACCCGGCCTGCGAGGTCCTGCGTTGCTCCTAGTCTCGGTGTGCTGAGCTGCTTGTCTACCTTCGAGGCTCTCAGACCGGTGGCCTGGGGCCAGAGCTGACCCCTGAACTTGCTGTGGCCTGTGTTTACACGTCGGGAGACACACCTAGGCAGCAGGCTTTCCACATTCTGCAAACCCCGGGGCTTCTGGCTCTGCATTTCCACATGGCGGCCCTTGGAGCTGCGGGTGGGAGGTTAGAGCTCTCATTGGTCCCTCCCCCTTGCGCTACTCTTGTCGATGAAATCTCATCTTTTTGCCAGCCTGGCCCTGGATATTCTGCCTTGGCTTTAAGATCCAACTCAATGGGAACCAGCAGTTAGTGTAATGGCTATGTCGCTGGACTTCCACGTAGTCGACTGTGGTTTGCGTCCCGGACCCGGTGGCTTAAAACTCACGCTGGGCGCGTGTGCGTGCGTGCCCAAGATCCTGAGAGGAGAATGGAGGAGAGGGAATTGCAGTGTGACCATCCCCCCTGGGGGGCGATTTCTCGCTTTCTGTCTCTCTCTGTCTGTCTGGCGAGTGCACGCGCCCTATAGAGAAAAAAACTTCTCCAAAAAAAAAAAAGATCCAACTCGAATGTTTCCTTCTCTGTGATCACTGTCTTTTAAAAAAAAAAAATTAATTTTAGCCATTATTATTGTTATTATTTTACTTTGACCAGAGAGAGAGAGGGAAAGTGAGATAGCAAACCACTGGGTCTGGGACTCGAACCTCAGCCGGCCATGTGGGAGTCCAGCGCCTCCACTATGCCACCTGCCAGGCCCTGACTGTGCTCTTGGAATGTCGTCTCTCTGCACTCAGTGGACATGGCTGGGGCTTCTTCGTGTTTTCGAGAGCCTTCTTATGGCTAGCCTCTGTGCCCTGACCGCAGCCTGCTGGAAGCCAACACTCAGCCCCGAGCAGTGCTGTGGGCTGGCTACACCGAGAGCAGGCATGCAGCTTCGTGGGCCCCCGCAGCCTTGCTCCGGCCCCAGAGGGCACTGATTGGCAGGAAGGGAGGAAGAGAGAGTACCCCACTCCAGCGGCCCCCCATGAGCCTGTCTCCCCAGACCAAGATTGGCGGAGGTTCCCTGCATTTCAGGGGAGCAGGGTCTGGGCAGAGTTCATATTCTCTTCCCCCACGGAGGCGTGTGCTGGTTGTCCTGTCACTGCTTCCAGCCACACTCACCCAGGCCTCCTGTGTACCCCCGCAGTCCAGGAGGGGCTCAGGGGTCTTCTGATGCAGGTGGGTCAGGTGCAGCCTGCAGACCCGCCCCTCTGCTGTGATTCAGGTCCTTCTGCACAGCCCCAGGAGACACGCTGCAGGCGCTGCTCTAATTAGGGGGCAGAGTGGTGCCAGCTTCAAAGGACGTGCTCTTCGGAGGATGGTGCCAAGTGTCTTTCTGTATTCCACCAGCCACAAATACCTCTGGGCGCAAGCAGCTGGGACAGAGTTTGCCAAGATAGAAGGCAGAAGGCTTAGTCCCTGTTCCCGAGTAGCTCGAGAGCAGCTGGGGAGAAAGCCCAGGCAGACAGGGCCTGAGTTCATGCAGCTCAGCACGCCCGGCTAACGGGGCAGACCAGTGTCTGCTTCTTAGTGCTTCGTTGTGCACTGGGCTTGCAGATGCCGCTTCCGAGGGCTGAGGCTCTCTTTGGCTGAGATTTGAAAGTGTGAGCTGGCCAAAGTCCTCGTAGGTGGAGAGGAAGAAGGGGTGAAAATTCAGACACCTCCAGAGATAGTGATAGTAGTTACTATTCAGCGAGTGCTCTCTGTACACCAGACCCCGCCCTGGCACTTTCCTCCTACTAACTCACATGGTCCTCATCCTAGGTCTACCAAGTGGAGAACTGCACTCACCCCTCAGCTAAGGAAGCAGGTGGTCTCAGGGCTTGGCACCCACGGGGCGGAGCCTCCAGAGGCCCTGCCCCGACCTCTGCCTTTGCTGCCTTTTGCATGGGTGGGGGCAGGTGGGCAGCTGTCCCTCAGCTCTTGCTGGCGGGCGCTGTGTGTGGGGTTACTTATCCACTGCTGGTCCTTCTGCACAGCCCCAGGAGACACGCTGCAGGCGCTGCTCTAATTAGGGGGCAGGACTCAGCGGTTTGAAACAGGCAGGCTGGCCAGTGGCCAGGTGGTCGAGGGAGCTGGAGCCCGCATGGCTGGCCAAGCAGTGTGAGTCCTGGGCCCAGTGATTTGAAAACATGCTGGGTGTATGTGCGTGTGTGCCCACAGTCCTGGAGGGAGGGAGACACGAGGGGAAGGGATGTTAGTGTGACCAGGCCTCATGGAGGTGCTTCCCTCTCTCCTCTCTGATGAGCACACTCACCTCTTGGTCAAACAGATAAAAAACAGCAGACGCTAGCTGTGCGCTTCTGTGGGTGAGGAATTTGGGGCAGCTCACGGTGGGTCTGGCTCAGGGCTGAGGAGTGGCACTTGGGCAGGGGGCATGCCGTGTAAGACTGCTCGCGCGTCTTCGGACGTAACTCTGGCTCCTCCGAGCAGGTGACCTGAGGGAGCAGGGTAGACACTGCGGTGTCCCCATGACCTGGCCCAGGCAGTCACACTGGGCCACTTCCAAAGTCCTTTTGGTTATGCACGGCAGCCCTGCTCAGGGTAGGGAGGGAGCCCCAGGGGGTGTGTGTGAGTAGGTGTGACTCGCTGCCTGCCATGGTCAGATACTTGCTTTTCTCAGGAGAAGCCAGAATTCCAATCATTTCATTTAAAAATGGGTTTCCAAGTCTTGGCAGCTAGTTCAGGTTCTTCTGGGACATCGTGCAGGCTGAGCCAGACGTGCCTGTGGTCAGCCGGCGTCTACCTGGCCACCTGTGTGGTGAGTCGTGCCGAGGGCTCTGCTGAGTGTCGATGGTAGATTTCTGCACAGAGGTGGCCCAGGCCAGGTGGCCTCCCAGGGTCCTCACGGCGTTGAGATGCCACTGTGGCCGCTTGTCCCCCAGACTCGGGGGCTGGGGTATGTTCCCACTCTGAGAGGCTGTGGGTGGTTTCACTTTTGTGATGGGCTTAAACACGTCTTTGCTAGAGGGTATGTACTCTGGGGAGGTGGAGGACACAGAGAGAGAGACAAAGAGAGAGAGAGAAGGAAAGCACCCTCCGTGGGACCTGGTCATGTCACCTCTTTTCTCTTTTCCTTCGTATCTCCATCAGGTTGGGCTCTGGGGCTTGCAACACCTGCTCCCAGCGTGCTTTTCAAGCTACTGCGGGCTTCGCCATGTGGGGTCTGGCTGCCTTAGCCACTCCCCCTCCTCCGTTTCTTTGACGCTGTAGGGTGTGTGCGTGCACGTGAGAGAGAGGGAGACCCTCCAGTGGGGCCAGTCATGCTGCAATATTATTTTCCCTCCAGTTCTCCACCCGCCAGGGCTCCGGGCACGAGCGTGTGCACCCAGTGTCTCATACAAGCCACTGTGGCCCAGACTCAAGCCTTGGTGGCCATGAGGGGCTGGCTTCTCTGCAGTGCTTCGCTGCTGTGTCACGGCACTGGCTAGTCGTGGGCTTCCGAGGGTCTCCATGGAGGCCTGCGTTTCGAGGCTTGGGGCGTCTCTTCTATCAGTTTGGGGAAGTTTTTGCCGCTGGAACTCTGCCATTTATGAGGTCCAAAGTAATTAAAACAGACAAAAAACGACCGTGGGCGTGAGAGGAGCCTTGGGGTCCCTTACCCACAGGCGCCTCGGGGGCCTTGGCTCCCAGAGAACCGCCTGGCCCTGCGTTACCTCTGCCTCCCCTCCCGTATCACGGGTTAGCTCACCTGTGCCCTCAGGCGGTCACCCATGTATTCCCATGCACCCGGGCACGGTGGCTCCAGAGCCCTGTTGGTGGGCTTGGTGGTGAAGCGTCACAGTCCTGCCTCGCCGTGCCTCGGGGACCCATGGTGTGGCAAGCTTCTGCAGAGACGGCTGTCCCCCACCTGGACCGCTCCTCCCCGGGTGCGCGGGCGCCTACCTGTGCGTCCTCCCAGGTGCGTCCCCGCTGTCGGCCTGCTGGGCTGCACTGAGGCTGCGTCTGCTCTGTTCTAGACAATTACGACAGCCTGTACCACTGGTCGGTGGAGTCGTACGCGGACTTCTGGGCCGAGTTCTGGAAATTCAGCGGGCTGGTCTTCTCGCGCATGTACGACGAGGTAGGACTCAGCCCGCGGTGTGCGTCCGTGCTCGAGTGTCGGAGCGGGTACTAGTGTTCGGGAACACTGAGCCCTGCTTTCTTTTCTGTTCTTTTTGTTTTAGTTGCCGGAGGGCACGGGGACTCACCAGAGGGAGGGAGAGAGCGTGCAGACACTGCCGGTGGGCTTTGGTCACACTGCAGCACCTTCCCCTCCACCCCTCCTCCTGCTGGGATGTACGGCCTGCACACACACATGCCGGCACTTTGCCGAGTTGCTGGGGTCGGAGACTCGGCCCTGTGGGGTCTGATGCCATAACCTTTGGGCCACAGGGCTGGCCTGCACCATGTATGTTTTTAAAGCTCCATGTCAGTGAGAAAAAGCCATTGCCCTCGAGTGCTGGCATTAGACCTTCATTAAACCCCCCTCTCGCTTGTCACAGACACTGTCACTAAAACTTAATGGAAAGACGAGCCATCGTGGACCCCAGGAGACCCTGCGGTCCGTGAGTCCTGTGCCGTAGCGCCCAGGCAGGCCTCTCCTGGGGACCTGAGTGACCCTCGGGGTAGGGAGTCAGGACTTAAAAAGTCTTCTAAATGTGCCATTGTGGTGGAACACACGGCATTAACGTCACAAGTGCTGTGACCTCAGGAACCGTGGCTGTGCACACAGACAGGACTGCGGACGGACCGTTAGGGCTGACTGGCTGAGCTGGACTATGGAATATGGGAGACAGCGGAGCAGCCCGTGAGGTTTACCTTCCCGTACTGACACCCAGTACACGCACGTTGCAGTGAGAGAGAGAGACGGAGAGGTAGCACCCCCACAGGGTCCCCATGCCACAGCCCAGCCCCAGCCTCATGGGCATGCATGGCCGCGCCCGCCTGGCACTCACAGGGAGGCTGCAGGGGGTGAACCCAGGACCGTCCCGCATGACTGCAGCTTCGTGGAGTGCTTTACCAGCGCCGTACCACCGTGGCTGATCTCTTGTGTTTTTTTAATCCCTTTTTTTAAAAATACATTTTTTTCGAGCCCAGCAGGTGGCCAGGTGGCATGGTGGCTAAGGGCGCTGGACTCCCACATGGCCAACACGGTTCAAGTCCAGACCCGGAGGCTTGCTTTCTCTCTCTCTCTCTCTCCATCTCTGTTCAAATTAAAATAAATAAATAAATAAGGTTAAATAAAATAATTCTTAAAAAAAAGGATTTTGCCTGAGAACACGTGTTCACACATGAGAGAGAGATAGTGAATGGGAAAGTGAGAAATCACTCCCCAAGGGGGATGTCCATGCCGCAGTCTTTTCTCCTGCTGGGATCTTTGGCACACATGCACATGTACCTGGTGTGTTTCAAGCTACTGGGTCTGGGACTTGAACCGCCGTCGGCTATGTGGGAGTCCACTGCCACAACCACTATGCCGTCTGCTGGTCCCCTCTCCTGGGATTCTGGGCATGCATGCACGTGAGTCTAGTGTGATTTGCAAGCTGCTGGGTCCCGAGCTCAAACCATGGTCTGCCATGTGGAAGTCCAGCCCTAACCATTACACTGACCCCCACACCCCGCCCCGTGGTGTTTTTAAAAACTGTTTGTAGTTTCTTTTGTTTGAGAGAGATTTTTGTTGTGGAGTGTGTGTGCTCGCCAGAGAGACAGAGACAGAGACAGAGAGACAGAAAATGAGAAATCAGCCCCCAGGGAGGATGGCCACACTCCAATCCCTTCTCCATTCTGCTCTTCGGATTTTGGGCACACACTTACACGCTCCTGACATGAGTTTTAAGTCACTGGGTCCGGAACTTGAACCATAGTCGACTACGTGGGTGTACAGTGACACGACCATTACGCCACCTGCCGGCCCCAGTTTCATTACATTCTTCAGTGTGCAACATACTGTCTCCTGGGGCAGGCCATTCCGAAAGCCTGCTCTCTGGCCCTTTGAGAAGAAAATCAAGGTTTCCACACCTCAAGGAGGGAAGCAAAGGATCAGGTTTCCAGAACGTGGAGGGAGGGGCCGAGCCTGGAGCTCGACCAGCTGGTTTTCTTATGTTCCCTGGAGCCTGGCACCTGGGCAGGCCTCATCGCTCCTGTCTCCTGAAGTAGGTGCTTAGTAAATATTTGTTGAAAGAGTAAATTACTGGGGAGGATTGTTTTCCCTTGGCGTTAATTTCTGTTTTCAGTTTCAAGCTTTTAGTCCAGTCCAAAGTTCAGTCCATAAATTGGTTTTTAAAGAATTGCGAGTGAGCACCCACGAGGACAGAGAGAGAGAGGAGCACCTCCGCTGTTCCTGCCAACTCATCCAGTGCTGGGCGCTTGCCTGGCACGTTTCCGCCCGACGGGGCCGGGGTTCAGACTGCAATCTGCCTGTGGGCTCGGCCTGCGTGGAGCAATGTGTTCCCCTGTGAGACGGAGCTGGCCCCAGGAGTGAGTTCCGGACTCCTAGGCGAGGAGGCAGCTGGCGCCTGGGGGCAGAGGTGCTTCGGCCTCGTGTGGTCTCGAGCTCACGCGTGTGTCCTGGTTCGCGGTTGTTCTCCACAGGTCGTGGACACGTCGAAAGGCATCGCAGATGTCCCCGAGTGGTTCAGAGGCAGCCGTCTGAACTACGCGGAGAACCTCCTTCGGCACAAGGACAACGACCATGTGGCCCTCTACGTCGCACGTGAGTCTGACGGTGGCCTTGCCTCCGTTCTGCGCATGCAGGGGCCGCGCCGGCACCAGGGACTGCGGGCAGGCTTTTCTCTCTTGTTTTGGAGAGATTTTTGCAATAGGGCATGTGTGCTCGCTGGAGAGACAGAGAGAGAGACAGAGAGACGGAAGGTGAGAAATCCCCCCTCAGGAGCGATGGCCATGCCACGATCCCTTCTCCTCTATTCCCCTCCTAGGATTTTGGGCTCACATGTACCTGGCATGAAATTTAAGCCACCGGGTCTGGGACTATAAACCGCGGTTGACTACGTGGGGGGCATCCAGAGACGTAAGCATTACGCCATCTCTGGTCCCATACACAGCACTCTGAGGACGTGCCAATAGTGTAAAATGCATGCCCATGGCGTGTCCAGGTGAATCTCCAAGTGCCGGTCCCAGGCAGATTGCGTAAGGGACTTGCAGGGAGGGCTGGTGGGCTCAGGCTGGGGACAGGAGGCAGGGGCGGCCAGAGGCTCTTCCTGTCAGCTGGGATGCGATCGCATGCCTGTTTCACTTTGTTCGAGTATGTGCTGCAGGTGGTCCTGTCGCCTGGTGGTTACAGGAGCTGGGTCCCGCATGGCCGATGGTGGCGTGAGTCATGGCCCGTGGCTCGGAGATCACACTGGGCACGCATGTGCATGCCGCACACCCGACAGGCCGGAGGAACAGAGGAGGGATTGCACGTGACCACACCCCACAGGGCGATGCTTTCTCCCTCCCCGTCTCTGTCTCTGTCTCTGTCCCCCTCTGGTGAGCTCACACTGTTTCTGACCAAGAAAGGATCGCGTGCACCGCACGGTGGTCTGTAGAACTGCATGGGGTTGTGCGGCCATTGCTGTGCCTTCTAGACACTTCCTTCCCCTCAGGAGAGACCCACAGCCATTGGCAGTCACCCCTCCCCCTGCCCTCTTCCTGGATAGCCCATCCAAGTGCAGTCATACTGGGCGTTTGGGTGGCTTTGGGTGCCTGCTCCCCTCACTCAGCCTGTGTTCGAGGGATGGCCCCATGCTGGCTCATCCCGAGTATCACCCACCTGTGGCCCGGCAGCGTTGCATGGCGTGGACAGTCTGTGTGTCCGCTGTGTGTGTCCACGAGGAACTCTGCAAGGCCCGTCCCGCCCCACCCTGAGTGTGTGATGTTACTGCAGACCCTGCCGGGACGCCAGCCAGCCTGCCTCTCCCCATCTCAGAGAACTGGGATCTTGACTCCGTCTAGGAGGTAGCTTCGCCCACCTCCTTCCGCGATCCCCTAAGTGAGGCTGTGCTTTTACCCAGCGTCTCAGACCGCCGGGAGGTCCTGGTTTCCCTCCTGGAAAGTGCACATGGTCAGATGTGACTCAGAAAAAGCCCCACGCTGCCAAAACCCCAGGAGAGTGGAGGGGCCGTCCCCTGGAGGGGGTGCTTTCTCACTTTCCCCCTCTCTCTCTTTCTCTCTGTCTCTCTCCGGCGAGCACACTCACTTTCTGGCAAAAACAAACAAACAAACACACAAACAAAATAAAACCCTAACTGGAGAACAGTGCCATACCTGACGGCTGGTGCCGCACTGCCAGGCTTCCCAGAAGTCGGGCGGGGCGGGGCGTGCGCTCCCCAGAGTCCTGGGTGTACACGGGCTGCCTCCAGCCAGGTGCCTCTGTCTCTGGGTCTGGTGACTTACTGTTACCGATTCTTCGTGTCAGACCCAGCCTGCCGCCTGCGCCCTGATCCCACCTCGCTGCGCCCGCGACAGCCCTCCTTTGCCCGCACTCCTCCCCGCTCCTGCCGTCCCTTCTTGTTAGATATTGAGCCCCTGCTTTTTCATTTTCATTTTTGTTAATTAAAAATGTTTTTTCAGAGAGCGTGTGTTCAACAGGGAATGGTTGAGAGAGTGTGGGAGAGGGGGAAAGCACCCCCACTCTCTTTCCCTCCATTTCTCCCTCTGGGCACCCATGCACACCTGCCTGGTGTGCTTCTCACGTCGCTGGGGCCAGGATTTGAACCACTTGGTCAGCCGTGTGAGATCTGGCTCCCTTAACCACCAGACTACGGGGTGAGCCCTGACATCCTTCTTTTCGTGAGCTCCCCTCTTCACTTTTGCAGTGGGAGTAAGCGCCCTCCAGCCAGGGGTCGAATCCCACTTACAGACGGGCCATCTCGCTGAAGCTGGGTCCTGAGCTGGCTGGCTGTTGGCTTGGGGCTGTTATGGGTGACAGGATCATGGATGCTATGGGTGACAGGGTCATGGGTTTCATTCTCTGCGTATTTTTCTGATCTGTTCCTTGCCGTGCCAGCGGGAGCTCGGGGGGCTCCGCTCTGTGCTCACCGGGTGTTCTCAGCACGCTCAGCCCTCTGTGTGTGATCCCAGGTGAGGCAGCGTGACGCTCTGCTGGAACAAGCGTGTGCACTGTCACTTCACGCTCCAGCGCGTGCGGCCAGGCAGCACACCTTAGCCGTGCCACCTGGACAGCTGCTTGCTCACACGTCTGGTCTTTGCAGAGTGGACGTCAGGTTACCCAGTATTTGGAAATGCTGGAGAAGATACTAACAGGCTGCCCGAGACAAGGATGCTAGGCAAGCGTGTTACAACTTTAGCCAATAGGAAAAAGGCAGATTTAGACCAAAATTAAGATATTTCTTCTCTTTGGAATAGACATACTTTCTGTTGTAGAACTGAAAAGCAATTAGCAATCAGGGTTAAAATGTTTGCATTAGGGACCAGCAGATGGAATAGTGGTTACGTCACTGGACTCCCACGTTGTCGTCTGTAGTTCGAATCCCAGACCCAGTGGCTTAAAACTCATGCTGGGCATGTGTGAGTGCATACCCAAAATCCCGAGAGGAGAATAGAAGAGAAGGGATTGCAGCGTGGCCATCCCCCCAGGGGGTGATTTCTTGCTTTCTGTCTCTCTGTCTCTTTGTGTCTCTCTAGCAAGTGCATGCACCCTATAGCAAAAATCTTTCTCTAAAAATAAACGAATAAATAAATAAATAAATAAATAAATAAAAGTTTGTATCAAAGATAGTGGTTGATGGGGCCAGCAGGTGGCATGGTGGTTGGGGCATTAGACTCCTATGTGGCCAACTGCAGTTTGAGTCCCAGACCCGGTGGCTAACTTCCTCACTTTCCCTGTCTCTCTCTGGTGAGTGCATGTGCCCTATAGCAAACTTAAAATAATAATGATAATAATAAAATAAAGAAATAATAAAAAAGTTAGTGGTCAACACCTTTCCTTCAGAAAGTACATTCAAATAGCTTTTGTGTACTGTCACAACATTGAGTCGTGCTTTATTATTGGGTTGTCAGAAAAGTCATGACACATTTTTTGCAGAGAAAAATGTGGTTATCTTGCCGTACATTAAATGATCAGAAAGCCATGACTCAAGACAAGAGACTGCTATGATCTTAGAGTGTCTATGGGTCCATGTTCCGGGACAGCTTAGCGGTGGCCTCTCGAACTTGCTGAGGCTGTGCAGGGGCTGCAGTCATCCGAAGGCTTGACTGAGGCTGGAGGAGCCGCATCGGGATGGTGCGCCCTCTTGGCTGTTGGCGGGAGGCCTCCGCTCCTCGCTATGTGGGCCTCTCCATGGACCTGAGCACCCTCACAGGCTGCAGCTGGCTCCCCCGGAGTCGAGTGGCACCTGCAGTGTCTTTCGTGACCAAGGCTCAGGAATCGCTTTATTTCCGCAGTGAGATGGCGCCTACGCGGGTCAGGTGTGTGTAGCCTGTGCTGGGAGCAGAGAGCACTGGGGGTCGTCATGGAGGCTGGTTGCCGCACCACCCTTTTCCATCCTGACCAGTCCGCTAGTGAAAACTAGCATCTCACAGTTCTTCTATCTTCAGGTTTTTGTCATAGGGCACTTGTGCTCGCCAGAGATAGACGAGACAGTGAGAGGGAAAGAAAAAAAAATCAGTCCCTGGGGGAATGGCCGTGCCATAGTCCCTTCTCCATTTCTCCATTTGGGACTTTGGGCATGTACGTGCATACCCAGATGTGATTTTCAAGCCACCAGGTCCAGGACTCAAACTGTGGTTGGCCATGTGGGAGTCCAGTGCCTTAACCACCATGCCACCTGCTGGCCTGGAATCTCACTGTTTTAATGTACATGTCTTTGATAACTAGTGAAGTTGATCATTTAATTTATATTTATAAATTCATACTTTTTCCAGCAATTGCCAAATTTTCTACAGTGAGCTTGCATTATCTTTACAATCTGTAAAAAATGATTGAAACGAAATCAAAGTGAAATACTAATCAGCAGTAAAAAGGACTGAATTATTGATGCATGCAATTACTTAAATGAATGTTAAGCACATTGCAAAAATGAAAAAAAACCACAATGTCAAAAGGCCACCTTCTGGAGGAATCCACTTATATAACATTATTATTGTTTTAGCTGCCAGAGGGCATACGTGCTTGTGAGAGAGATAGAGAGCAAGCTCACTTCTCAGTGGCAGAGACACCACAGTCCCTCCTCCTCTGTTCTTTTCTGTCAAGATTTTGGGCACACACGCACATACTTGGTGTCCGACAAGCTGCTGGACCGGGACTCAGAGCCTGGTTGGCCCACCGCTCCCTTAACCACTAGGCTTCAGGGCTAGCTGATACAATGTTCTCCACATGACAGCATTACGGTGCTGGAGACCCCACTGGGGATGGCCTGGGGTGGGGAGGAGGATGGGGGGCCCTGGGGAGGGGGAGCAGGCGTAGAGCTGTGTGGTGGTGGCTAAGGGAGGTGCCATAGGGTGACAAAGGAGGACACAGAGCTCTGCACACACTGCTCACGTCCGTCCTAGGCTTTGATATGTACCACTGTGGAAGCCGAAGGGGACATGTGACCCCTTTGTGCTATCTTTGCAATGTCCTACGAATCTATAATTATTCCAAAATAGTATAAAAACCCCTTCACAACCAAAACCCAAAGGGTGCTTCACTCGGTAAAAGCAGCCCTAGTAGAGCACCGTCAAGTGGCGAACTCCGCCAGCACCGTTCACTCCAAGGCTGCCTTCACACACCTTTCTTCTCCACGAAGCCGAGCTGACCCGTCTTGTCGTGTGTCCCTGTACCTGTGTGACTCGTCCCTGTACCTGTGTGACTCGTCCCTGTACCTGTGTGACCCGTCCCTGTACCTGTGTGATGTTGTCCCTGTACCTGTGTGACCCGTCCCTGGGCGCGGGTCGGTAACCTGCCCTGAAACAGGTGCGTTTCCCCCGGCGCCTGTGACTCTGAGCCTTCCTTCCTACTAGGGACCGTGTATGATGTGTCTTTTTTCTCTTCCCAGGGGAAGGCAAGGAAGAAATTGTGAAGGTGACTTTTGAAGAGCTGAGGCAGCGCGTGGCTTTGTTTGCCGCAGCCATGAGGAAAACGGGTGTGAAGAAGGGTGACCGGGTAGTCGGTGAGTAGGTTTAGTGCTCTTGATGGTTTGTTGAGGGGACCAAAGCGAGTAAGTGGCCCGTAAGGTTGGGACAATGTCTTATGGTTGTTGTTGAGTTTGCCAGAGGGTGTGTCCTTGCCGAGGGAGGGAGGGAGGGAGGGAGAGAGAGAGAGAGAGAGGCCCCAACGGGGAGAGAGAGAGAGAGAAAGAGAGAGGCCCCAATAGGGAGAGAGAGAGAGAGGCCCCAACAGGGAGAGGGAGAGAGAAAGAGAGAGAGAGGCCCCAACGGGGAGAGAGAGAGAGAGAGAGAGGGAGAGAGAGAGGGAGAGGGAGAGGGAGAGGCCCCAACAGGAGCGGTCATGTGTCACTCCCTTCTCCATTTCTCCGTCCTGTCAGGACTTGGGGCATGTGTGCACATGTGCTTGGTGCGGGTTTCGAGCTGCTGGGGCCAGCGCCTGAGCCGTGTGGTCGGCCATTCGGGATCCAGCTCTCATACCCTCAGGCCGTGGGCCACCCAGGTTGGCCTCTGAGCAAGGCAGAGTGCTGTCGTACCGCACGGGGCCACGGCGGCCTTCAGCTGCGCACACAAGGCCAAAGCAGACGAGGAGGGCGGTGGTTGAAAGGCGGCCCTCTTCTGTGAGGGCGGGAGTTCTCTGTGCTGTGTCCCTGCTTGTCCCAGAGCCTAAAACAGCTCCAAGAATATCGGGGTGCACGGTCAGTACCCATCGGTGGGGTGAATGAAGGCAGACGGGAGGGTCTCTGCGGGCAGAGTGGGGTGTGGATAGCGGGCCGGTGCCTGGGTCCCAAAGGCCTCGTCCACCTTCACCCCCTCTCCCCAGAGTCCTGCCCGAGCCTCTGCCCCGTACCCCTGGGACTATGAAGCTAGGGCAGAAAGGTGCACAGAGCCCAAGGGAGGTGGGAGTGGGGTGCAGGCCCCCCGAGCCTGGGCTGAGGCCGCATGGGGGACTGTTCCAGAGGAGCAGGGCTGGCGTCTACACGGCAAGCAAGGGGCTGAGGCCTGGCTCGTTCTCCCTGAGCCTGCCTCCCAGCGTCCCTCAGGGAGTGAGCTGTGGTTCCCTCTGAAGAGCGATTTAGGTGACAGTTTTCCTGCCACCTTGACTTCGGGAAAACGCTCAGGCCTGTAGATAGACCTGCCTGCCCCTGAGCTGCAGTTAATTTGGACGTGGGTAGGTGTGTCGGGGGACAGCAGGTAAAGACAGAGGCGAGGCCCCGGCCATCAGGGCCCTGACCCCCTCGCCCTCAGTAATGGGCAGGGTGTGCAGGCCGGGCCGTGACCAGGTGTTCGGCTGGGCGTTCCCCTCCCCAGGGCGCTCCCCGGCTGTGTTTGTGGAGAGCAGAAGGCTGGGCCCCCTGTGTGCAAGCTGGCTGGGGGGGAAGCCCAGGACGGGGCCTCTGGTTCCTCTCAGATAAGAGAACGCATCCACCTGATCGCTCAGCCCCTGCCAGAGGTGGAGAGGAGGCTGGCAGAGAGGGACCAGCCGGGTACCCCTGTCTCGGCCCTTGACGAGAGTTCCCCCGCACACCCTCAGGCTCACCCTGGTGGGCCCTCGGGTCCCCTGCCTCTTCCTTCTCTCCTTCCTCTCCTTCCACCCACCCACCCTTTGTCCATTCGTCTGCCACCCTCTGTCCCCTGTCCATGCACCCGCCAGCCTGGCAGCAGATGTCTGAGGGCCCTGGTATGCAGGGCGTGGTGACCGGGGTGACCCTCCCCTCGAGGGAGAGGCCTTAGACAGCCGTGGCTCACAGGTCAGGGGAGTCTGGCGAGCTTCGAGGAGCACAGTATGTGTTGGGTGACCAGCGGGGGCACCTGAGTCCACGGGGTGGGCAGCGTGGCCTCGGAGGAGGGCTGTCTGAGGAAGCTTCATGTGGGCTGGGAGTGGGATGTGTGCTCGGCAGAGCGAAGAGCGGAGTGCCGTGCCGTGGCCCTGGGGCGGGGCGCCTGCCACCACCGAGGAGCGAAGGGAGCCGACGTGCCCGGACCCGGAGTGCGGGATGTGGAGGGAGGACGGGCCAGGGAGGGTGCCTGGGCGCGCAGGGCCACAGGGTCACTCTGATGAGTGTGGCTAGTCAGGGGTGGCGGGGAGTGGCCACGCCGGAGGGAGGCGACCCAGCACAGTGGGCACGGGGCTGCCTCCGTTCATGGGCACTTCAAGGCTGCCCCCTGCCCGCACGCGGGCCCTGGTTCTCGGGAACCTTTCCGAAGTCGGCCATCTCCGACACCCCGTCCCAAGGCCGGCCCTGTCACCTCTTCCGACAGGTTACTTGCCCAACGGTGAGCACGCCGTGGAGGCCATGCTGGCTGCGGCAAGTATCGGCGCCATCTGGAGTTCCACGTCCCCCGACTTCGGTGTGAACGTGAGTACGAGTCCCTGTAGAGGACGCCCCCGACTTCGATGTGAGCGGGTCCGGGTCCCTGTGGGGCACTGCCTGTGTGTCTGGCGGGGGCTGCGGGGCGGCGTTCCCTGGGAGCCGTGTACGGAGCGAGTGGTGCTGGCCGGAGCCGCTGTTGTGATCCCCTCTAGACTCCCAGGCCCACAGTGTGATGGCCTTCCTCCCAGTGTCCCTAAGGTCCCCATCCACGCATGGGGGTGGCCTCAGCAGGTGCTGCACGCAGAGGCCAGTGTGGCTGAGGCCCAGCGTGAGATGCCTTGTCCTTCTCGCTGTGACCCTCGAGCATGTGGTTCCCTGAGGGTCCCCCGAGCACAGCTCGTGCTGCGGCCATTGAGTGCAGCTCACAGAGCTGTGTGGGGTACTCCATGCCGCCCCAGGGACCGCGGGAGCCCGGGGTGCATTCGGGCAGGGGCAGGAGGTGTGCTAAGCCCCACCGCGGCTGCCCTGCCACTGTTCTCTGGGGACCACCCTGCCAGGAGCAGCGCGAGACCACAGCCACTGCCCAGCCAGGGCCTTTCCTGCACAGAACCTGGGGGCCAGGGATCGGGGCCTTCAGGAGCCACGAGCACAGGCCCCGTTAGAGGACGTGGCACCCATGTGTCCACCTCCGCCCAGTGCCCGTGACCTCTGTCTGACACAGTTGGCTGGCTTTGCTAGCTGTGCACCCTGGGCCAGTCAGCCACCCTCTCTGTGCCTTAGACTTCACCTACAGGACAGGGCAGGCTGTCGAGGCAGGCACGGGGGTTCACGCATACAGGGCAGGACTGGCCCTTGGTGACCACGGCAGGGCCACAGGTGCAGCCTGGCCACTGGGCTCCGCACTCAGCAGTCAGCCGTCAGGGTTTTCCACAGGCCGGGCCTTTCCAGCGTGAGCTTAGACACAGGTCTCCCTTGAGGCTTGCTTCTGTGTGTTGGGGTGGGGTATTTTTCCCTTTATTTCCGAGAGAGAGAGAGAGAGCGAGAGAGCGCGAGCGAGCCAAAGTGAGCGCCCTGACAGGGTCTTGTCACACGGCTCTCCTCCCCCAGCCCTCGAGCCAGCCGGGGTCACAGGTGTACTCGGCATGTTCAGGTCTTCCCAGGACTTGAACCCCAGGCCTTCCCATGTGGCTCAGGCCTTGCTCAGCAGCACCTGCCACCTGTTTCTTTTTCTTTTTTTAAATTATTTATTCATTTATTTCTATTTATTATTACTTTTAAATTTGACCAGAGAGAAAGGGAGAAAGCAAGCCGGCAGTTCCGGGACTCGAACCATGGTCGACCATGTGGGACACTAGCGCCTTTAACCACCATGCCACCTGCTGGTCCCGCCGCCTGTTTCTTTGTCGTGTTTCCTTGGAGTCAGCCTCTGAGGAGCCAGTTCGCAGGCATGCACTGCCACGCCTGGCTGGTGGGGGCTGCGAGGCTGCCCCGGGCCCTCGTGGCTCGGCCACCAACAGCAGTGTCCAGCGTGTGCTACGCAGCTCAGCCCGGGCTGCTTTCGGTAGCGGTTTTCGAGGTGGTTTTCCCCCCTACGAAGTGAAGGGGACCGCAGACACGGGCCTGGAGCAGGGCTGACTGCTGGTTCACCCCACATGTCAGCCTGGGGCCCGAGGGAGAGGTGACCACCATAGCCCCCACTCCATGGCTGGTCGGCCGCGCTGTGCACCCAGGAGCCTCCCCGCCCCTTCTCCAGACTGCCTCCCTAGGATACCTCTGCTCAGCAAGGACCGACCAGAGGCCGAACCCCCACGTGCAGCCCCCCTGAGTCCCCCTGCTCTCTGCAGGGCTTGTGAGCAGCTCGGGGCAGGTATCCTCAGGGAGTTGTGAGGGTTGGGCCCAGGCTCCAGGTCTGGTGGTTCTCAGCTCCCTCGGCAGGTCTCAGCTACATGCAAGTTGGGGGGCTCAGAGGGCACAGAGGCAGGGTGGCGTGGGGCACAGGCAGACCTGGTGGCCCGGTTGGGCCCAGGGCCACTTCCCAGCCTGGTACTCCGGCGTCCTCAGGTGGAGAGGGGCCGGGAGGGTGCAGCAGGTGCTCCTAGTGGGGGTGGGGCAGGCTGGACCTCCTGGCAGGTCAGCGAGAGTAGCCACTGGTGAGTGTTAGGGGGCGTGTTGGCATTGAAGTGCAGCTTTTTAACCATGTGTGATGGGCTCTGAGGCTGTTGTGGGGGCCATGTGGGTAGCCTGGGGCAGTCCACAGCCTCCAGGATGGAGTTCCCCTGGGAAGACCCAACCCTCAGCTCTGGACTCGCCCTTTCTGGGTGGAGGCAGGTGAGGTCAGCAGCTCTAGCTGCCCTGAGCCTGTCGCTTGTCCTCCAGGCTGCCTCCTCCAGGTGGGCTGTACCTGTGCAGGTGTCCTCTGCAGAGGCCACGCCCAGCCGACCCCTGTTCGCAGGTCCTGGGTGACCCCGTTCCAAGGCTGGCTCTGTACAGACGTGGTCTCCTGACTGACCGCCTTCCTGGGTCAGCAGCTGCAAGAGCCGCCTGGTGCGAGCGCAGGCCTGGCCAAGGCGGCTCTAGGTGGCAGCGTGGCCCCGCTCTCCCGTCCCTGGCAGCAGGCCAGGAGACGGCCTTCCCAGGAGAGGCTCAGGTCTGTGTCTGCAGAGACTTGCCTGCCCCGTTCCTTCGCTCTGCCCCTCTGTTCCGCCCGGTCCGGTGCTGGCCCTTGTTTGACCGGAGCCTGTGGGATACCGCCTTCACTGCCCTGCCCAGAAACTGGGCGTCGTCCCATCTCTCCCTCCACGCGTGCGTCTAGCCGGTCGGCAGAGCCCGTCGGTGTTCGGTCCCTGGGGCAGGCTCAGGCGGCCACGCTCTTGGCTGCTCTCATTACAGGGGCGGCCGGTGTCGTGCCACGTGGGACACCACACCTGTGAGCCGAGGAGGACCTGGGACTGGCCGGCCAAACTCTGCTGCCCTCTGCAGGCTGCCCTTGTGCAGGGGCAGAAGCCGGCAGGGGTTCCTGGGTCTGGGCCTGCTCCCTCCGCGGGCTTGAGGATCTCTGCTGGAGACACGGGTCTTTCTAGTTTCCGGATGGCGCCGCTTTTGGTCACAGGCCCTTCTGCCGAACCCCGTGAGCCGAATGTCCTTCGTGCTCCGAGTCGGCTTTTCTGTTGCAGACCCCGAGGGCTGCTTTTACAGAGCAGCACGGTCGCGGTCTGAGAAGCCCCGCTTCCGGGATTTGGTGTCCACAACGGGCTGCCGTGTGGACTCGGGTTGGGGCTGCACATGCATGGGGGGGTTAGTTAGCCCGGCTGTGGCGAACACCAGTGGGCGCGTGTGCCAGGGCCCGGAGGGGGGTGACGCGGGGAGGATGGCCGTGTGGCCTTGCCTTCTTGGAGGGTGCTTTCCCTCTCTGAGTCTCTGTCTCTCTCCTAGGAGAGCATGTGCCCTCTGGCAATAAAAAATAAATAATAAAAACGGGCCCGATAGCTAGTCTACCCATCCGCGGGCTTCTGCACTGGGCTGACAAGAACGGGGTTTAGAGGACTCAGGGCCCTCCTCAGCGGAAGACTCAGAGAGCCGGATTGCGGGCCGCTTCAGTGCACCACGGCTTTCTGGAAGGGGCTGCTCCTTGTACCTGCACGGGAGCGTGTTAGAGGTCCTGTGGGTCAAGGGGAGTCTCTGGCAGGGCAGATACGCCCCTGTGGGTGCCCGTCTCCTGATGGCCATGGACCCCTGGGTGTCCTGTGGCAGGACAGTGAGGCCTCCCTGGGCGTTGTGTCGGCTGGCTCCCTCTCTGGGCCCCGGGTGGGGACACGCGAGGGTGCCCCTTCCCTGATGTGCCAAGCGGTTGGCCTGCTGGTTCCCGCGGTGACTCGCCCCTGCACTTTCAGGGGGTCCTGGACAGGTTCTCGCAGATCCAGCCGAAGCTCCTCTTCTCGGTGGAGGCCGTGGTCTACAATGGCAAGGAGCACAGCCACCTGGAGAAGCTGCAGCAGGTGGTGAAAGGTGGGCTCTCGTCCCCCACGCTGGCTCAGTGCGTGTGCGCGTGCGTGTGCTCCCGTGTGCATCCCTTAGAGGTAGGCTCCTCTGGAGTCAGAAACTCCCTGAAGCGGCCACTGCGAGTCCCTGGGTGGTCCCTGCCCAGACCGGCACACCGCAGACTGACTCGGCCGCTGAGCGCCCGTGGCCTGTACCCCGTCCTCTCTCCTCCAGGGCTGTCAGACCTGAAAACGGTGGTGGTCATTCCCTACGTGTCCTCCAGGGAGAAGATAGACATCTCGAAGGTTCCGAACAGGTACGAGCCGGCCGCGTTTCACGGTACACGGCTGTGCGGGCGCCCTCGACGCCGCCCCGTGCGCGTCTCCGTGGGGCCTCCGCTCCGGCCAGTCCCGGCATTTTAGGGTGGAGGAGGTTTTAGTTATGACCCTCATTGTGTGGGTGTGGCAGCAGAGGCCCCCAGAGTCACCCCAGGCCGTAGAGGAGGAGTGGCAGACAGCCTGGACCTCCCTCTCCCACCCGGCTCCCTCAGGTGTGGTCGGAGTGCCGGGCCTGCCTCCCGGCCCTGCCTCCCGGCCTCAGGCACGCCCTTCTGCTTTGGAACTACCGTGTGCAGTTGACTCTGAACAAAGTGTGGTCAGCCCTTGCACACTTGAAAAGTCATATAAAACTTTGACTCCCAGACCTGGGGCGCCGGCTGGGAGCCTCCCCGATAACCTAGACAGTGATCAGCCTGTGTTTTCTATGTGGTTGGTTATGTGCTGTGCTCCCGCTACCAGGCTTCTCGGCCGCGTGACCCTGTGCAAGAGATGAACCTCTGTGCTTCGGTTCGTCCCTCTGTAGGGTGTGGTGGGACCTGCCCCTGGGGCTGCTGTGACGTGAAATAAGCCAGCGCTCAGCAAGGCTCGTCTGGTTAGCAAGCTAGAGAAAGGAAATCACACAGGACCAACAGATGGCGTGATGGCTAAGTCACTGGACTCCCACATAGTTGACTACGGTTCGAGTCCCGGACCTGGGGGCTTAAAACTCACACTGGGTGTGTGTGACATGCATGCCCAAGGTCTTGAAAGGAGAATAGAGGAGAAGGGATTGCAGCATGGCCATTCCCCTGAGGGATGATTTCTCACTTTCTGTCTCTGTCTCTGTCTCTGTGGCGAGTGCACGTACCCTATAGCAAAATCTCTCTCTCTAAAATAAAAAAAGAAAAGAATGTGAGCACACCCTGTGGCCTGGTGGGTAGGGAGCTGGGTCCCACATACCCGATCACACGGTTTGAGTTCTAGACCCAGCAACTTGAAAGACACGCTGGGCGTGCATGCACACACGTGTGCCCCGATCCCAAAAGGAAGACGTGGAGGACCAAGGATTGTGGTGTGACCACTCCCCGGGGGGCTCTGTCCCTCTCCCCTTCTCGCTCTCCCTGGCGTGCACACGTCCTCTGGAAAATAAAAAAAAGAAAGAAAACGCCAGGAAGAAAAATACGCTTACAGTACTGTACTGTGTTTTCTCATATATTTACTGAAAAAGCCGCCCGTACGTGGATCCGCATGGTTCAGACCCTGTCGTTCAAGGCTCAGTGTGCATGCCTGTGCGCACGTGGGCGGGCAGCACGCGTGGCAGCTGTGTGAGCAAGCCGCGTACGGGGTTCGTAGCCGTGCGTGATCACCGACCCCAGCTTCTCTGTCTTTCCGGCATCTACGAAGCGCCAAGCCATGTGTCCTGAGCACCAGGCAGAGTCGTGGGCACCTGAATTTAGAATAGAAAGTGAGACGGATTTCGATGTGGACAAAGTCGGATTCATCCCAGTGTTCTCGGAGCTGCACCTACGTAGCCTTTCTTAAAAGAATCGAGGGGGCCGGCAAGTGGCGTGGTGGTTAAGGGTGCTGGACTCCCACATGGCCCACTGCAGTTCAAGTCCCGGACCTGGTGGCTTGCTTTCTCACTTGCTCTCTCTCTCTAGTCAAATTAAAATAAATAATAAAAATAATAAAGAATTGTGGGGCAAGCTTTTCGAGACCTGGGTATCTCTACCTTGGGGGGTACGCTTTCCCTG